ATGAGGGAGGAAAGGAACGGAAAGAGGAGATTGCTGAAGAGCCCCAAACTGAGAGTCAGGGCAACCAGAGTCGTAGAGGCTTGTATGAAGTGCTCCTTGCCTCAGAGCTGTCCTGGGTAGCGGGTGGGGAGGGCTGTGAGGGGAGGGAGAGGGCAGGGGGGGACTGCCCAGCTGGAAGAGGCCTTGTCTAATTGTGCCTGATTAGTAGAGAGGAAGAGAACAGGGCGAGTGATTAATAGTCACCAGCGTGTGGGGAAGGAGGATTGGGAGGGGGAGGGAAGCCTGAGAGCCAAGAGGAGATGGAGACAGTGAGGTACCCACGGGGCTTTAGCCTCCTACCCTTCTAGGGGCTGTCTGCACCTTTGATCCTGGGGAGTCCTACAACCAGGATCTGGGACCTGTCCCTACCTCCTAAGGGATTCCCTCCTCCGTCCTGCCTCGATTTTCAGGCAGGGACATGGAAGAGAAGAGACCAAGGTCATGTCTGCCTCTGGGGAAAGAAGTATCTGCATTCACATGATGCTTTCAGACACCCCAAAGCTCCCAACCCCAAGACACTGGCCCCGCCCTTAGCTTAACCTAGGACCTCAGCTTGCCTTCTATTCACAGCCCACAAAACAACATCGTAAGCACATCCTTTAGTCCCATCAGTAATTCTAGCCCTGCCTGAGCCAGGCAATCTGAACCTTATTCACGAGTATGTTGTACAACATGCACCAGTTGCACGTGCCAAATCACATTTCAAATGCTCGACAGCCATGGGTGGCTAGTGACTACTGTGCTGGACAATACAGACATAGGATGTTTCCATCACCACAGAAGGTTTATGGTCTAGCACTGACCTATATAGTATATGCACATATGTACATGTGTGTGCTTGCTTGAGAGGGCTGTAACTACGGAGAGGACAGTGAGGGTCGAAGGCTATGAGGGGACAAGACTAGGGGATGGAGAGCAGTGTTGTTCTAGAGCAGGGATCAGAAACCACCTGGTGATGCTGAGAACTGTGAGGTTAAAAGATGGTCAGGAGCTGAGGTGGTTGTGTTTGTGACAACTGTCACTTGCAGAGTGCATACCATGTGCATGCCAGGCAGTGTGCTAAACTCCTTTGCAGTTCCTTGCCCTCACAACCTCCCTATGGCCTGTGTAACGAATACACAAATGATATCCTCAAGGCCACGAAATTGAATAGAACTAAGGTTCAAGCCCTCACGATCAGACAGCTCCGGAACTCACACACGGTGTTTAGTCCCCCTGCTGAGAGGAGATGGTGGCTTTTAGAGCCACCTTTGCTTTGTACAGATAAGCAATGAAGGCTAGGGAGAAAGTGATTGCCTCCTACCAAGCCCACAGACTTCGAGTGAGCCATGATGGGGGAGGCGGAACTGGGGCTTGGCCCACAGTTGGGGGATAGTGGAATCAAGGGAGAGCCCTAGAGTGTCTGGGGGGGGGTGGTGTTGAAAGTATGAGGTAGAAATGGGAGTGGGCTGGTGTGAGGCCAGTAGAGGAGAAAGGGGAAGGAAGAGACGAGCCAGGGGCCAATGTGGAGGACAGGGGTGTGGAAAAGCCCATTGCACTGCACCCTCAGAAAGAAACCTTGCCTATCTTCCCTCCTCTCCTCTCTCCTCTCCAAACCTCAGTTGGCTGCCTCATCCTTAAACCTCCCCAGCTCTCTTTTAGCCCAAAGTGGCCTCTGTCTCTGAACTCGGGCTCTTACCGTCCATGCACCTCAGCTGGCAATTAATCCTGGCACCTTATGACATTGCTTGCATGGCTGATTAACTCTTGCATGCTTGTTTAAGCTTTTGAGCATCCCTGTCCCTGTTCTTCCATGAGACTGAAGGCATTTTGAGGACAGGGTCTGAGGATTAGGGCTTCCCTTCTTTGCTGTCCCCGCCTAGGTCCTAGCAAGGAACCCAACATGCATAGGTACACAGAACCGCATTCTGAATGGCTGACTGGGAGTAAATGAAGGGATATTTGGGAGCGTGGGGGTGAGAGTGATTTCAGAGGTACCAGAAGCAAGAGCAGAAGCTTAGGGGACTGGGGGAGGGCACATTACCCAGAGTAAAAATAGGCTGGAAAATGTGACATTTATTAACTTGGATTCCGGAGGAAAGGTCACAGCAGAGTGGGGAGTGGGAAGGAGGAAACAGGGAAAGCAACAGAAAACACATAATGGTCCCTTACCGAAGCCTGTCTGTCACAGTCACTGACCATTCCACCACCCACTCCCTGGCAGGTGTTACTGCAAATGGCTCTCATTTTCAGCTCCTTACCAAAGGCCCTCAAATCTCCATCATGTAGCCAACATCCTCACCACAGAGCCGATTCTGGACCTCATGTCCTCACCGGAGGTCTCCAGTCTTCATTCCCTTCTCCAGTCTCACCCAGGCAGTGCATCCAATCTTCTCCATCTCCATGGGCCCCAGCCCAGTTCCTAACTCTCTCAGACTCCAGGGCCAGGGGCAATTGCATGTAGCAGGTGGTGGATAGGGTGTGGGTAGGGGATTATGAGTCTAGGCTAGGTGGACATGGTAAACAGGAACCCCAGAGGGGGAATTCTGTCCCCCGCTCTCTCAGACTCCAGGGCCAGGGGCAATTGCATGTAGCAGGTGGTGGATGGGGTGTGGGCAGGGGGTTATGAGTCTAGGCTAGGTGGACATGGTAAACAGGAACCCTAGAGGGGGAATTCTGTCCCTCCGGGTTCTTGCTTTGCCCCGCTTGTACTGATGTTCCTGGGACAGCTCCACAGCAGAGATGTATAAGCTTTGACCTCCCTCTCCAGCCCCAGGGTACCAAAGGACCTAGGGAAAGCTATCCTTGCCCCCCTTACCCCTGCTATCCCTAGGATTCCAGGGACTCTTAGCTTGGATCAAAGGAATCCCTGTCCCTGAATTATCCGGACACCTCTTACCCTAACAGAAACCTTCTGTCACCTCCCCTTCACTTCCTAAGTGTCCTCCATCTCTCCTCCATTGGTGTGTGTCCCCTTACCCCTGCTATCCCTAGGATTCCAGGGACTCTTAGCTTGGATCAAGGGAATCCCTGTCCCTGAATTATCCAGACACCTCTTACCCTAACAGAAACCTTCTGTCACCTTCCCTTCACTTCCTAAGTGTCCTCCATCTCTCCTCCATTGGTGTGTGTTATCATTACCCTTCCCCTTTCCTGCCCACCCCAACTGGAGCTAAGACACAAACTCAGGGACACAAAGACCCCATTGATTTCTATCTCAGCAGCACTTGCTGGGACTGAGTTCCTCCCCACCCCCCATCACAGAGGGGTGAGACTGCAAGACAGGGGTCCCATGGGTCCCCAAGGCCACACTCACACTCTATACATCACTTCCTCTTTAGGGACTCTCCCAGCTCTGGCTTGGGAGAGCAGTATTTTATTTTCCTAGAAGACAGAGTGTTTAGCTAGACAACAGGCTGATATTCCCTAATTCCACTCCTGGCACAATCTCCCCCCTCCTGTCCCTCTTTTCATGTTAATTCCTCCCACCCACCAAACCCACCCACATAACCCAAAGCAAGAGGCCCTAGACACTGCAGACATGGTGGGGCCAGGAACCTGTTTGATGCATGTTTCCTGGTAACACTGAGGCAGTGAGGATGAGCTTGTGCACAAGGAGCTAGGCTCTTAAGAGGGAAAGTACCCATTGCTGCTGGAGGGCTGGATGCCAGTGGGCATCAGGTCGATACCACAGATTTGCTCGTATACTAGGCAATAGCCACAAGGTTGAAACCACACACACACACACATACATAAAGATAGACATGGACTGGGGACTGGGGACAGGCATCTCAAGCACATTGTGAATAATAGCTTTTGAGTGTGGGTGAAAGGAACCCTGACAGACCTGACAGAGTCCAAGACACACCCTCCACATTCACACACCTGACTGTGGGAGGAGTGCGAGCATAGCAGGCGGAGCTGACACTCCGCTTCTGGTGAGGGTACGTGTGTTTGTATTCACATACATGGGGGCGATGGTGACAGACAGTTGTCCCTGCGTGGAGAATGGAGGGAAGAGGTTGGGGTAGATTGGGAGGGTGGTGTCAGGAGTTGGGATGACATCCCAAGCATGACCCCATCCTTGGCAGCTATGAGCTGGGATTCAGGCATGGAATGAATAGCTCTCTGGGTGTGTGGGTGTGCAGGTGTGCATATGGGTGTAGTGACAGGGACACGGAATGTGCATGACAGGGAGTGTGCAAGGAAACTGTGTCCCTGAACAGTAGGAGTGTGTGTGTTCACGTGCCAGCTCCGAGGGTGAGTTATGCCCATAGAGGGAATGAGTGATTCCCAGTGTGAGAGCCAGAGCCAGGCAAGGGAGCAGCAGGAACAGGGGCTGGAGGGGGTGGGGGCACTGGCAGGCAGGAAAGACCAAGGGGACCATGAAAGAGGGATGTGTGAGGGCGGCTGTGAAGGGGTATGTGTGTGTGTGAAAGACACAGAGACGGAAGAGACTGGCACCCAGTATACACGAAAACCATCTCCATCCAGCTGGCTGGCTGGGCCAGCTCTCCAGAAGGCAGCCCTGACTCCTTCCTTTGACAGGGACACCTCTCCCCTCTAGCAACCCTCTCCCCGTCACTTTCATTTGCTGGGAAGAAGAATCCAGTAGCCCCAGAAGAAAAGGACAACAGAGCAAAGTAGCGCTCAGTCTGTCTGTCGGTGGGATGAAGACCAGCTTCAGGGCCCCGAGCCCATCCCCGGGGAATGCCCCTGGCCCCCAGCCTTGAGCACTGCAGCAACAGAGGCAGCAGCAGCAGCAGAAGAGGAGCTGTACCGCCGAGGGTAAGCCCTTCTGAGCATCCTCTGCTCCAGGGCTGAGGAACCAGAGGGAAACACCAGCTGGGGGAGACACGAGGCCTGCCTCTGCTGGCAGAAGGAAGGGAAGCCCTGTTGAGGATGCCCTCAAGTACCACCCTCCACCCCCACTTCAGCCTCTGGCCACCCCAGGTTTAGATGGCCCAGCTAGTGGAACTCACCACGGAGAAGTTGCTGGCGGAGCAGTGGTGCCCACTGAAGTTGCAGCTCTTGAGCATGTCAGCAAGCTGGTGGCCAGTGCGGTTGAGGATGTCTACCATGTCAGGCTCTGGGTAGCGAAGGCCAGCTGCACGGTGCCCATCCCGGTCTTTGGGGGGCAGCCCTGTCAGGTTGGCCAGGTGGAAAATATCAGCATCGCTGAGTGCCGAATGCCGGAAGCGGTTGATGTTGCAGAGGGTGACAGCGGGGAAGCCCGCCACTGGGGCTGGGGCAGCAGGGTCCACGGCTACCAGGTGAGGCCGGGTCAGGTAGCCCCTGGCCAGGCTGGCTGCCTGGTATAGGAAGGCAGCCAGTGAGGTGAGTAGGGCCAGTGCCCACAGGGTTCTGCGCAGTCCATGGGGGCCTGGGGCACAGGCCCGGCCCAACCCATGCAGAGTGCTGGTGCTGGCAAAGGTGGCCAGGTCCCGAGGGGCTGCTGGCCCCTGAGCAGCCCCCAGGAGGCTCTGCTCATCTCCTGCCTCCTTCTCCTTGGGTTTTGCATCCTCCTCAGCAAATTTGATTTTGCACACAATCTCGATCGGCATCTGTCCCCGGCTGCTGGGACTGGCCAGAGCCTCACTGCTACTGTCCCTCCCTGGACAGCAGCCCTGGTGCCCTCTCAGGGCAATCAGGAGGAGGATGGGGACAGGGTGGGGGCCCGAGGTGGGGGCGTCACTCCCACTCCCAGCAGCTCCGCAGCCCCGGAGCTGCCTCTGCGGCTGCTGCCTCTGCTGCCGCTTGTCTCTCTCCTCGATCGTCTCCTTGTGGCTTCCCTTATCAGCACCAGCACAGCTGTCAGCCCCTGCGTGTGTCCCTGCGAGCAAGCGAGTGAGCGAGGGAGCAAGCGCTGCTCCGCCACGCCGCGCAGCCCCAGCCGCTCCGCTCAGCATGTGCTCTGGAGCCCACCCCGTGCTTAATAATTCAGGACATGTCAACAGCGTTTCACCGTCGGGCACTGGCACGGGAGCCAGGAGCCAGGCCAGGGAGGGAAGACACCCTCCAACCCCCGCACACCCTACCCCAGCCCAGGATGGAGAGCCCAGCACTAGGGGTGCTTCTGAAACTCTTGCTGTACCTTAGTCAATTGTGGGGGCCCCAGAGAGCCCAGTCTCAGGCCATCCAGGGAATAATGCTATCCTCAGAGTGTTCAGCCCACTCCTTGCCACTTTTCCTGGACCACGCCCCACGAAGGGTCAATCAGCTCTGTCCCCCGGCTCCTGGCTTCCCTGACTCTTGACTCTAGCCTTCGGCTGATCTCACTGCCCCACTCACAGCAGCTTCCAGCAACTCCTTGAGAGAGCCACTTGTTTGAATGAGGGAGGGAAAGAAGGGGAGGGCAGGCAAGATTAAGAGACAACTGTGGCTTCACTCAGACTCTCCTTCCTCAAAGCCTTGCTGGTGATCTCCACATCCACCACACCCTGCCTATTCCAGGAGGGGCACTGCCTCCCTTCCTCTGGCTTCACCCCCAAACCGGAGTCTACTCATTCTTGTGCTTGGGGCAGAGGCCACCCTGGCTGACTTGATCATCTGTGGCCACTTTATTAGTCCTATGTTCTCCAAATCCCTTGCTATGACCAGGCTTGGGGAAAAGGTGTGTGTGTGTGTGTGTGTGTGTGTGCGCGCGCGCGTGCATGTGCTTGTGCGTGTGTATGAGCCAGGCCAGGGAGCAAAGAGCTCAGAGACAGGGGAGAAGGAAAGGAAGAGCCCAGAGGGGTTATCAGAGGGAGTGGGGAAATGAATGGGGGCTATATTAAGGAAATCAGTGCCAAGAATGCCCCGTCCACTGGCAGAGCCAGGTAGGGAAGTCCTGCAGGCTGCTATCTTAGAGGAGGATTCGGACACATGGGCCATCATAAGAGGAGGTGGAAAGAAGCCCCTCTTGGCTCACTGGGTGTGGGGAGGACATTTGTACCTCCTCTTGGGTGTAGCAAGAATGGTCCACTTGTGCCCCCCCCCCGGGGGGGTATGTGAAAGTGTGAATCCTCATGAGGGCAGGAAGCCCTTGTCCTGGGAGGAAAAGGGGGCTGATTAATCGGGGCGCTAATGAGCAGCAGGGAGAGGAAGCTCAGAGGGGAGGGGCAGGCGGCTCCATCGATCCAAGCCGCGGAACCAGCAGCTGTGCTCTAACTAGATGTCCCCAACCTTTCAGCAAAGTGGTTTCCCAAGGCCTCCCAGCTGGGTTCACCCACAAGCTTCCCATGAGTCTAGGTCAGCGGGCTCCCAAAGCTGGGGAGATAAGACCTCTGGGGACAGGTTCAGGTGTGGCTTCTTGCTGGGACACAGCAGGAGAAAGTAGAGTCGGCACTGGCAGAGGTGCTGAGCTCCTATGCAAGGGTCCAAGTGACCACAGACAGCTCCCTCTCTACCCCCTACCCCAGCAGTGCTCTCCCATACTCTCCCCTCCCTGTTCGACTCCCAGACCCTTCCACAGTCCCCACCCCCACCCCACACCACCCCGAGCCACACACACCATTCCTCCTTTCCTTCCCTGGCTTCCCTTTTCTCCCAATATCGATTTTTCTTTACTGGGTTTTTTAAAAAGGTGATTTAATTGCTTTTTTAAGGTTACTTCAGTCTGGGGCTCTGCCAAGAAAGTGGGATCTGCCCCCCAATCTCTCCCCAGCACCCACTGCTGTCCCTCTGACACCTTGTCTGCTGTCTGCTGAGATCTCAGGGTCAAGCCGTCTCCACCGCACACTGGCCTTCATCACGAGCCCGGATAACACCCTCTTCCCCCTTTCAGGTCAGCAGGGTTTCTTCCACGTCTAAAAGGAAGGAGATTGGGTGGTCACTGAAGGGGAGGGGGACTGTGGGGGAACTCCAGGCCACTGGAATGAAGCAGTAGTTTGTTGCATGCAGACTCCCACCATTGCCCGGTGGCCAGCTGTCTCTAATTGTCCCCAAGCCCCTACAATCCAGTCTCCCAGGCCTCTAGGAATCTGGTTATGCTCCGTGGGGGGGCCCCATCCTTCCAGCCCATCTCTTGGTGTTTTCCATTCACTCCTCCCCAGCCCCTTCTGGCCCTCTTCCTATCCCTCCACACCCCCTTCGCCTCTGGCCCTGTCCCCTCTCCCCCCTCTCCCTGCTTCCCTGCCTGCCTCCTTCTCTGCCCGGCTGCAGTTGGGTGATAATCTCCCTCATTTAGC